ATCTTCATTACCACATATACTTCAAATATTTTTCAAACGATGTTTAACAGAGTAAGGAATATTTCACAGCATTTCATATAATTTTATTAAATTAAATTTTAATAATTCTGACTTTAAGTATATAAGGCATTTTAAAAGATGTGGTGATGAGCTTTGGGCTGGTATCTCCAGGCATTTTCTAGTAGCTGAGAAAAGGATGTGATCACTCTCAGCAGTAGTTAAAGGTTTTAGCAATTGACTCTTTCCTGCTGCGCTGGAGTCTCAAATGGTGTAAACTCCACTGGCAAATCATCTAGCAAACTATGTTTAGACACAACAACAAAATAAGTGGCTAAAAAAAAGCATTGCTCTCCATACACCAGGTCATTTAAGGCCAAGACAATGCTTGAATTTGAATCGCAGCATTGGGATTTGCTTAAACAGGAGCACAAACCCTGATGCAGACTTTTATAAGGTCATCCTATTGATTTGATTGTTACAACTGTGAATCCACCAGCAAATTTACTGCCAGTCAATCAGTGCGAGAGGGGTGTTGTGTGCCCAATTATCACAAACAAAACACCACGCAAGCTCTTAGCGACAGAAAACATCCAGCAGATTCCCACAGATGCTGTAATGTGTCCCTGCATGGTCCACAAAATCTTACTGTATGTTGCACTGATATATTCGTGGATATAGCCGTAACAACTTTGTGTAGTTAAAATTATCGATTTCGATGTTTATGCCAAAAGAGATTAGTGAGTTTAATCATTTAGCAGTTGATTTTATTCAAATTTACATTCAAATATTTCAAATATTTATTTATTTGTTTGTAGAGCAAGTAGTTTGACCGTTTTCTGCCGTTTATTATTCCTAGTCATTTCTCCCATAGGCGACTGAATCGGAAGTTCTAAGACAATCGCGAAAACAGGCGCACTTCCGCATTTTAGAATAAGGTCAATAACAAGCTGTCTGTATAAACACACAGAGACACAGCACCACACTGTCTCTCATTCAAACACACACAAACATAGACAGCACCAAACAAACACACACATACTTAAGCCCTCGCAACAGGGAGAGCTCGCGCTGAGCGGAGCAGAAAAACTAAAAAAAAAAAAAACGAAAAAAAGAAGCACTTTTCAGACGGTCCCTTACTGAGAGCTCCTCTCAGCGCGAGCTCTCCCGGCTAAACACATATTGCGAGGGCTTAAACGGAGCAGTGCTCGTAATGTCGAGCGAAAAAAAAGAAAGACAACTATGAAACATAACCAGCTTTGTCTTTTTGTAGGAAACACACTTTAGATCTTTTTAGGGTAAGAGGTTTTTGAGTTATTGCCGTCTATAACTGAATGTGTCAGGAGTATCGAAAACAAAACCAACTGAACCGTGCTCATTTTTGGCGCCCTCTGGATGTACAGCGCCCTTATACTGCCTATGCCACGGGCCGGCCCTGGCCCAAGCGGTGTTTCAAAGATGGCCAACGAGTGAAATGACTTGCCTTAAAGGGGCTTTGGTAGTATTCAGTTTAAAGTGACATTTAAATTAGGTTAATTAGGCAAGTTAGTGTAATTAGGCAAGTCATTGTGTAATGATGGTTTGTTCTATAGACAATCAAAAACAAATATTGCTTAAGGGGCTAATATTATTGACCTTAATTATTATAATTTTTTATGCGCTGAGCGGAGCAGAAAAACGAAAAAACAGAAAAAAGAAGCACTTTTCAGACGGTCCCTTACCGGTCCCGCGAGCTCTCCCGGCTAAACACATATTGCAAGGGCTTAAACGGAGCAGTGCTCGTAATGTCGAGCAAAAAAAAGAAAGACAACTGTGAAACATAACCAGCTTTGTCTTTTTGTAGGAAACACACTTTAGATCTTTTTAGGGTAAGAGGTTTTTGAGTTATTGCCGTCTATAACTGAATGTGTGTCAGGAATATCGAAAACAAAACCAACTGAACCGTGCTCATTTTTGGCGCCCTCTGGATGTACAGCGCCCTTATACTGCCTATGCCACGGGCCGGCCCTGGCCCAAGCGGTGTTTCAAAGATGGCCAACGAGTGAAATGACTTGCCTTAAAGGGGCTTTGCTAGTATTCAGCTTAAAGTGACATTTAAATTAGGTTAATTAGGCAAGTTAGTGTAATTAGGCAAGTCATTGTGTAATCATGGTTTGTTCTATAGACAATCAAAAACAAATATTGCTTAAGGGGCTAATATTATTGACCTTAATTATTATAATTTTTTTATGCGCTGAGTGGAGCAGAAAAACGAAAAAAAAATGGAAAAAAGAAGCACTTTTCAGACGGTCCCTTACCGGTCCCGCGAGCTCTCCCGGCTAAACACATATTGCAAGGGCTTAAACGGAGCAGTGCTCGTAATGTCGAGCGAAAAAAAAGAAAGACAACTGTGAAACATAACCTGCTTTGTCTTTTTGTAGGAAACACACTTTAGATCTTTTTAGGGTAAGAGGTTTTTGAGTTATTGCTGTCTATAACTGAATGTGTGTCAGGAATATCGAAAACAAAACCAACTGAACCGTGCTCATTTTTGGCGCCCTCTGGATGTACAGCGCCCTTATACTGCCTATGCCACGGGCCGGCCCTGGCCCAAGCGGTGTTTCAAAGATGGCCAACGAGTGAAATGACTTGCCTTAAAGGGGCTTTGCTAGTATTCAGCTTAAAGTGACATTTAAATTAGGTTAATTAGGCAAGTTAGTGTAATTAGGCAAGTCATTGTGTAATCATGGTTTGTTCTATAGACAATCAAAAACAAATATTGCTTAAGGGGCTAATATTATTGACCTTAATTATTATAATTTTTTTATGCGCTGAGTGGAGCAGAAAAACGAAAAAAAAATGGAAAAAAGAAGCACTTTTCAGACGGTCCCTTACCGGTCCCGCGAGCTCTCCCGGCTAAACACATATTGCAAGGGCTTAAACGGAGCAGTGCTCGTAATGTCGAGCGAAAAAAAAGAAAGACAACTGTGAAACATAACCTGCTTTGTCTTTTTGTAGGAAACACACTTTAGATCTTTTTAGGGTAAGAGGTTTTTGAGTTATTGCTGTCTATAACTGAATGTGTGTCAGGAATATCGAAAACAAAACCAACTGAACCGCGCTCATTTCTGGCGCTTCCCTGGATATACAGCGCCCTTAGCATTTGCCTATGGTGCCTATGCCACGGGCCGGCCCTGAGTTGGCTGTGTTGTAAATACTCGCGCTCACCTTCCTCTGAGATAACGTCAGTACATAATAACCGGTTATGATTATTACTAAACCGATACCGAATTGTCTGCGTCTGCATCGCAGTGCACCGAAGAAACAATTAATTTTGATACCCCTAAAGTCTAAAGTGCATGGCACAAAAGCATTCAGGGCATGTCTGAATGCATTGTTGCTATTTTAAGGATGGACAAATATGGTCTGCGCATGGTCTAACAGTGTTGTGCTTATTCTATTAATGAGTTCTGGGTGTGTTTTGAGCATAACGTGCATTAAACCAATCAGAGTCTCGTCTACTATTTCCTTTAAGAGTTGAAACGCACCATTGCGCATTTGCTATTTACATGGCGGACTTTGTAAGTGGATAAACTGAACACTTCGTTAGAGAGAATACAGTTAACCCGACCATCTGCGGTGAGAATAAAAAATGAGCCTCCTCCATTTGGCCTCTTTACTTTTACTCTTTACTCCTTTACTTAGGTGGAGTAAAGAAACGATGTCATACTCACTCCACTGAACACATCCATTAGCCTACATAGTTAATTTAGTTTGTTAAGTGCAAAGATTTGTTTCAAAACTATTTCTAAATTCCGTTCTAATTTCCAGCAAACAAATAAATGAACAATAATAGTGAAGTGTTTTAAAAAAAACTGAGTTATTTCCAAACACACGTCCTGTTCTTATCCCTTATATGGTGATGCAAACGTCTCGAAAACCCAACAGGTGGACAAATCTAAACTTGTTTTAATTAAAACAAATATATATATATATATATATATATATATATATATATATATAAAATAAATCTGCTAATAATAATAACATTATACAAATGAAAACTGTCATGAATAAACGGAAAAGAGCCCCCGAGAATTTTATATTTATGTAGAAAATAATAGTTTTTGAAACATTTTAATCCTTTATTTTTAAAGATATTTGTGTGTTGCTGTACATCCAGTGTGTATTCAGCAACGTGTTAGCGTTTGGACCTGCATAAGCGCATAATTAACACGCTCTCTTAGTTGATTAATGGTGCAGTCTATTTCAGTGTCTCAAAATAGCAACACGCCAACAATGCGTCTTAACACACCTCCTTTACAGACCAGCACACCCATTCCACAAAGTGCTGCAAATAGATTTTCTATCTAAACAATGTGGCGAAAAACAGGAAAATTATGGTTGCGCTGGTCTGAAAATAGCAACAAATCACGCCAAACACATCTTGCACCTTATTGTGCCATGTGTATGATAGGGCCCTAAGTCTTCAAGTCTATATTGTTGTGGATGTTTGGAAAAAGGAGAGAGTGTCCAATTGGTGGTTTATCAAGCAAATTTAACAAATTCCAAATGGTTTTGTGGTCCAGGGTCAAATACAGTTGAAGCCAAAATGATCACCCCTCCTGTGAACAGAGCAAGGAATTTTTCGCAGTATTTCCTATAATATTTTTTCTTCTGGAGAAAGTCTTATTTGTTTTATTTTGGCTAGAATAAAAGCAGTTTTAATTGTTATACAATGACTTGCCTAATTACCCTAACTTGATTAATTAATCAAGTTAACCTAGCCTTTAAATGTCACTTTAAGCTGAATACCAGTCTCTTGAAGAATATCTAGTCAAATATTATTTACTGTCATCATCCTCAAGAATAAAATAAATCAGTTGTTTGAAATGAGTTATTAAAACTATTATGTTTAGAAATGTGTTGAGCAAATCTTTTCTTCATTAAACAAAAATTGGGGGAAAAAATTCAGGAGGGCTAATAATTCTGACTTCAACTGTATGTGCTTATGTTTTTGGCAGGAATACACTATCGACGTGTTCTTCAGGCAGAGCTGGAAGGATGAGCGGCTGAAGTTTGAGGGACCGATGAACATTCTGCGCTTGAACAACCTGATGGCCAGTAAGATCTGGACGCCAGACACTTTTTTTCACAACGGGAAGAAATCTGTCGCGCACAACATGACCATGCCCAACAAACTGCTGCGGATCCAAGATGACGGCACCCTGCTGTACACCATGAGGTATGAAAGGTGTTATTTGTACTAAATGCCTTTGTCTTACAGATGTTTCCGAATTTACAGAAGTATAAAAAAAACACAACAGGCCTCATTTGAAAAGTTTTGTGCTTTCCAAGTTTAAAGCACAAGTTCGTCTTTCGGATGAGATGTTAAACTGAGGTCCTGGCTCTCTGTGGTCATTCTGTGGTCATTCTAACCCCATTGTCCTGGCCAAATTTCCCCCATCAGCCCTTACCGATCATGGTCTCCCAATCATCCCCATCCATTGAGTTGGCTCTATCACTGTGTCTCCACTCCACCTATAGTTGGTGTGTGGTAAGCGCACTGGCACCGTTGACCTAGGACTGCCGTCACATGATCCAATAGGATGCTGTACACTGGTGGTGGTGCGGAGAGACCCCCCTCATGATTGTGAAGCGCTTTGGGTGTATGGGCATAAACAATAAATGCGATATATAAACACACATTACATTACATTATATAACATTACAAAGACTGGGTGACCCGAAAGATGCTGAGACTTTTATTTTAGTACGTTTATGTGCTTTCAACTGAAGGTGATTATTAAGTAGGGGGCGGGGCTTTCTTTTTGCACACCATTCTCACACAGCAAACTAACAGTATGAGGGGCGTGGCTAAGAATATTGTGGCTGAAGCGTCAAACTGACGTCAACAGAACAACCAACTCTACAAACACTGAAGCAAATAGTCAGACTTTGATTGAAGATTACCAAACATTTCTTTCCCCAGTGTACTAACTTGCATGGATTAATTGTTTGCCAAAAAAACCAGCTATGTCGCTAGAAAAAAAATAATAAATAATAATAAAAAATTAAAAAAAAAATAAATATATATATATATATATATATATATATATATATATATATACATATACATACAATTAAGTGCACAGCATGCCATATCATCTGATAACTGTAGGAAATAATTACAAAAAGCAACTGGTTGTGCAAAGCCACATAAAACAACACACAAATATGATGTATATGCCGAGTTCAGCGGCTAATAAGCCGGAATCAGCTAAGATGACGTGATAGCAACCAGCGAGACCTAGCTGTCACTCAAGTGGCCACGCCCCTTTATTATGCAGACTTAATATAACTCAATATAAATGAAACAGATGAGTTAAAAAAATTTAAATTATCCCCCTCATAACAACAACAAGAATCAGTCCAAGGCACTCGAAAAATGTGAAAAATGTAAAAAGCCTTTATTCACATGGCTAAATCTCTAAAAACCTACCCGTTTCGGTAAGAAGAATGACAATCTGTAAAGCATCTATAGAAAAACTGTTTTACAAAAAAGAACAAAAGTCTTAATTCACCATTTAAACCTGAAAATCTGGTTGCTTTCAATGTATAGATCTATACATCTATGTTCTATGCTTTACAGATTATCATTATACATTGTTGTATGTGTTTGTATATATATATGTATTTTCCTTTTTTTTTCTTCTCTCTCTCTTTCCCATATATGCAAGTGGGTGTTTGTGTATCTATGCTAAATTAATAATGATAGTTGACTTTGTTTTTTTAATTATTTGAGATGTTTAAATGAGTCATGTGACCATAGTATTCAAAAGAGACTCTAGACGCACCTGATCACTGTTACACTGATGAAGGCAGATTCATTTTTCGAGTGCCTTTGACTGATTCTTGTTGTTGTTTTGATGAATCCCATACCCAAAGAGCATCGACCAAATATTTGAGTTACCCCAGAGCGCTTTTTGTTTGTTTTTTCTGGATTATCCCCCTCATAGTTGTCATAAAGTGTAAGATTAGCTATACACACCAAAACCGCTTTTGTACTAGGCTGTAAACACCTTTTATTCTGCTGTGAAGTTGGCCATTTTAACATTGGTGTCAATAGAAATGTACTCTATTATGGAGACAGGCCTAGTGGAATTTCAATGAATTGCAGCAGCTTTTGTATTGTCTTCATGAGGGAGAGAGGGATGTTGCTGCTTGATTTTCACACATTCATTTTTAAAATAATAGTTTTTTTTTTTATGAAACTGACATAAATAAATAAGACATAAACTAAAATATATGATATATTATGTTACCTTTTTGTGACATTTATTTGCACTCTGCTTTTGGAAGTGCATATAAAGTGAATATAGCAGAACATTGTTGATAAAAACAACATCTTCTAGACATCAACAAACATCCAGACCTCAAGCACTGCTATAATGCAATGTTTTCAGGTCAAAACAAAAGTTGTTCTGGACAGCCATTGAAAATCCTATATTAGAAGCATGTTAATTTGTTAAAAACCCATGTGGTTTTGAGTAGGAAATGTTGAAGGGTCATTTCAAGGCAGTTCAAAGAAAGGACAGTAACTCCTTTTATCTGCACTTTGATATTTTTGACTTTTTCTTTGAGACGCAGCTACATTAGACACTACATGAAAAGTAATATCTGAAAAAAAGCATGATAGGGGTGCTTAAAATTACTATAAATCACTTTAAAGTCATATTTGACACAAACAAGTAATTGTCATGGCCATAAAATCTGTTCAAAAACTGATCTAGCCTATTAGTGTGATCTAATGAAGTGTAATCCAATTCTTCCGAAGTCATAAAATAGTTTTGTGTTCGATGCACACCCACAACTGAATGCCTTCCAGTGCATTTCCTGTGAATAATGACTTTAATTCAGACCTTTTCCTCACGTAATGCTATCAGAATTGATAATTTTGGTGAAGGATCCATTTAGCTCATATAGTGGGTGGCAAATGGAGTCATTCCTCATGTAAATCCCCCGAATCACCTTGCATTTGCTGAGAATTACAATAATTCCTCTCTGGCCGACTCCCACGGTGTGACGGTCCTCAGTTCTGCATTGATTTAGCCACTAATGAAGATGTTTCATCTCTCTTCAGAAACATGACACTCACTATTGCAGGAGCTGATTTACCTACAACCAGTTAATGTACACATGGAATCAAACTGAACAGATTGATTTTTGTTAGCTAGCATTGCTAGTTTTGTGGTGAACAATTCCTCTGTGCGTGGCATTAAGATACTAAGAAAACAATTGTTTACCCTTGTAATCTAAAATTGAAGTGTATTAATGCACTACCTGTTTGTTTTGAGTTGAATTCTCAGATTATGTCTATCTGGGGTATTGGGTGTGGCTAACATACTTAACCACAAACCAAGTATGCATGGATTGCAAACGTAACATTCTGTAGTGCTTTTAGTTATTGTTTAACGCCATTTGGCAATTTTATAGTTGGCATCCTTCATATTCATCCGTCACATGAAGTCTCTCGATTGTTGTGTGTAATGATTTTGCGTCTTCTTGGACGATTTTTAATACTTTTTATTGCACTGTACAAGATTGTTGTATTCATATACGTGACTTTGTGATTTAATGGATGGGATTTACAAGACTGAGTATTCTACTTAGCCAATCATTCATTCATTCATGTTGCTTTGGCTTAGTCTCTGATTTATCAGGAGGCGCCACAGCGGAATGAACCACCAATTCGAGCATATGTTTTACGCAGCAGATGCCTTTCCAGGCGCAACCCAGTACTGGGAAACACCCATAAACACTCATATTTACAAACACAATCATATACTACGGCCAATTTAGCTTACCCAATTCCCCTATAGCACTTGTCTTTGGACTTGTGGGGGAAATCGGAGCACCCAAAGGAAACCCTCACCAACACGGGAAGAACATGCAAACTCTACACAGAAATGCCAGCTGGCTCAGCTGAGGCTCGAACCAGCGACCTTTTTGCTGTGAGGCAACAGTGCTAACTACTGAGCCACCATGCCGCCCCTTAGCCAATGACCATAGACAAAAAACTAAAAATAATAGGGAAAGTAGTGAAGTTAAAGCAGGGCTCGAACCTTTAACCTTTTTTCTTGGTAGCACCGGTGCTCCTAACTTCAAAAATGTAGGCGCACCAGACAAATGTTGTTGCACCCACCAAAAATGATGAGCACCTTTACTACACATTTTACACTAACAGATATTAACACTCTAATCACAACTAACAAATAAACAAAAATCTGCATGTGCTCATCACCGGCCAGCTGCACGCACCGCTTGATGTGAATGAGATGAACTGAGATAACAGTATGCTGTTCTCAGAGGTGGTGTCTCTAATATTAGACAGAGGGTATTGACATATAACTTATTATTTGCATACGTCATCTTAATAGCAATAACGTTTTTTTTTTCCATGAGCTGCAATATTATCTGGCGATTGTGAACATGCGGTAAATCAGTCGTACAACTGATTAAATAACGTTAGAACATTTTGCGCTTAAAATGTGTAGATTCAGTGACAAACACTGTTACCTGAAAACTCCGTCCCACGTCTGGCTTTACAGTGAATGCTTTAGTCATTTCCATACAGTGGCGCCCCCAGAAAATTTTCTTAGTGGTGGCCAAGTAAGGCCACAACAAATCTTGTGGTGGCACACAAAAAAATATGAATTGTGTATATATTGTGAATGAGGAGTAATGTTATATTTTTGTTTTTGGTAAAATAAATAATGACGTTTTAATGAATTCCAATAATTACTCTTGAAATATTGTAATTTAAGCAAGTACAAGTGCAAACCAAATAAAAAGCAATATTTAGTCTAAAACCTCTTTCCGGTAAGTTATTTCTTGTACAACATACAATTGTTGCCATGTCTAACATTAATGAATTATGACTGATGAATATGATTAATGAATGAATTAATAAACCAAACAAAACCCAACAAAATTTTGAAAAGCAGATTTCAAAATGCATCTAGTTATTTATTTTGGATTTGTGGTTTTCAATCAGATGAAACACAGGTTTCTCATTTCAAAAATAATAATTTCTTAATAAAAAGTGTGCAATGTCAGTGAATCAGCTTCGTCAGTGGCGCTGATCAATCCACAATAATTTAGTGGCTGCATTTTATTTATTCATTTATTTATTGAAGTATTGTGAATTTAAGTAAATACATTTAAATTAATAATATCAGCAACTATCATATCGGGGTGGCCACAGGGGTGGCCAGAGTTTACACAAGGGTGGCCGTGGCCACCCCTGGCCACCCCTTGGGGGCGCCCCTGTTTCCATAGCGGACTTTAAACACGGGAAGTCTGTTATCCCCTCTTCAAAAAGTGTAAATGCTGGATTGATATTCATGAAACGATCACTAATCTGCAGACGTGTCATTATTTGTAACTTTAGGTGGTTTCTAAAACTACATCTGTCAGTGTTGTGTTCACTCTCTCGTATCGGAAGAACCGAGTGATTGACAGCTGATGTTAACTAATCCATTCGCGATCTGTTCTAGCGCAGTGGGCCAATAAGACGAGCTTGAAGGCGGGACAAGCATTGCGGGCATTGTTTACAGCAGCAAGTTGACATGTCAACTGTTTTAAACTATTCCTGAAGCGCGCTGCGTTTGGTGTTTTTAGGTGCGAAGATGTGTGAATGCCTCCTAATTCCACGCATGTGGTGAACATTTTGCTGTGAAAACTGGTCGCACGACAACAATTATATGCACTCGCACAAATGCTCCCTAATATATTTATTTGGAGGCCGGATAGATACAATTTCAAAGACAAAACAGTCAAAATATTGACACCTGTAAAGTACCGATACAGTTGTAAAAAATCTACAATTCCTGAGAAAAAAACTACTCAATTAAAGTAATTTGAGTGTTTGTAATTCATTACTTTGCATCACTGATTATAACCGACGTATTCAAGAGTCTGCGAATATCCTCATCGGTCTCTTTAATTACCTGCAGACGAAACAGAAGAGCACGAGCAGTGATATATTGTTGCGTGTCATGTACACAAGCCTCCAAACAACCCGGCCTTTCATAATGACTCTGCTCTGTTCGTCCTGACGCCGCTCCAGAACACATCATGACACTCTCCAACACGTACCCTCTCAATTCTCCTTTTTTTTCCCCTCTCTTCTTAATCGCTCTCTCGCTCCCAGCTCTTCCTGTGAGCACAAACGCTCCTCGCCGCTGCCAAATCAATGAGAGCCTGACTCAGCCGTGAAGCTGAAGCTGAAAAAAAGAGACAAACTAAAAAGAGAGAAAGAGGCAGGCAGAAATGGAAGAGGAAAAATTGACTGCCAGAACTTTATAGGAATACTGGTATGATACTGTCAATAATATATTGAATAATTAAAGTACAAGTGCAATCAAAACTCACCATGTTGATTTTGTTTGCTCACGTTGCTAGTTTTGTGGTGAACAATTAATCCGTGCATGTCATTAAGTAAAATAGTTTGCCCTTGTAATCTTAAATTGAAGTTTAAAACGCACTTGCTTGTTTGCAGTTAAATCCTCAGATTAGGTCTGTCTGAGGTGTTGGGCGTGGCTAGCATACTTAACCACGCCCCTCCAGCTGTCAATTTTGACAGCAAACAGAAATGGAGAGCAGGAGGAGTCTGTTAGGTTGTAACAACTCTCCCCAAACTCTTTTCCAGATATTTTTGAATGAAATACTTACTTTACTACATCCAATCAGCTTGCAGTATGAAAAGCAAGCCACACCCACTGCTTTCTCATTTAATTTTCTTTTTCTCTAGGGACTGTGTCGAAGTATATCACAGCTTCTGGTTCATGCAGACTTTTAAGGAATAGTTCCCCCACATATAATCACTATTTTCTTACTCTCAGGTTGTTATAAATGTTTCTTTCTTCTGCTGAACATAAAAGAAGATATTTTGAAGAATGTTTGATTAGCAGATGGTTGACCGTGTAATTGACTTCCATAGTAGAAAAAAATATCTATATTTTTATAAAGCATCATTAGTGTTTTATACGTAAGCAGGAAAATGAGCAACTCCTTTTTATTGTGCATGAATTAAAACTCTTATTCTCAATGGTGCATATCAATAAAAACGATTAAATATTATATAATGTGTTCATTTAGTTAAAACAGTTTGGCAAACATGCTTAAGATTTAATAAAATACAAGAAAAGTATTTTTAAAATAATAGAATATTTTGCAATGATTTGTATAAAGGGCAGCAAGAAGTTTGCTGGTTCAGGCCTCAGCTGGGTCAGTTGGCATTTCTGTTGGAGTTTGCATGTTCTCCCCGTGTTCGTGTTGGTTTCCTCCGGGTGCTCCAGTTTCCCCCACAAGTCCAAAGACATGAGGTATAGGCGACTTGGGTAAAATAAATTGTCCGTAGTGTATGAGTATGATAATAATAATAATTATTATTTTTACAGTTATTATTATTATTATTATTATTATTATTATTATTATTATTACAGTGATTATTATTATTATTATTATTATTACAGTGATTATTATTATTATTATTATTATTATTATTATTATTATTATTATTATTATTATTATTATTATTATTACAGTGATTATTATTATTTTTACAGTTATTATTATTATTATTATTATTATTATTATTATTATTATTTTTACAGTTATTATTATTATTATTATTATTATTTTTACAGTTGTTATTATTATTATTATTATTACAGTGATTATTATTATTATTATTATTACAGTGATTATTATTATTATTATTATTATTACAGTGATTATTATTATTATTATAACAATTATTATTCTTATTTATTATTGTTGTTGTTGTTGTTATTAATGATATTATTTTTATCATTATAACGATTATTATTACTATAATTATAATGATTATTTTTATAAATTATTATTTATTATTATTATTAACTATTATTATTTTTTTTTATTATTATAAAAATTATTATTACTAATTATTATTGTTGTTGTTGTTGTTATTCATTATTATAACAATTATTATTATTATTATTATTATTATTATTATTATTATTTTATTAATAATAATAATAATAATAATAATAATTATTATTATTATTATTATTATTATCATCATTATCATTAACTATTATTATTATTATTATTATTATTATTATTAGTATTAGTATTAGTATTATTATTACGATTATTAGTATTATTATTACGATTATTAGTAGTATTATCCATGTTTGTAAGCTGTAATACAATTTTCTGGATTTTTGATGAAAGGGAAGTTTTAACAAAATACATTTTAGGACATTCTTTAGTGTCCTTGCTGCATAAAAATATTTATTTATTTTTAAAAAGCCTTACCCAAAACCGTTGAATGACTGATTCGAAAGTTTAAGCATTTATTTGAAACCATTCAATGTCGTTGCTGGACAAAAACATACATTTCTCTTAACTGATTGAGCAGAAAGTTTAAAGAAACAGCATCAAAGGGATTGTTCACCCAGAAATTTATATCTATCAACTACTTATTCACCCTCACGCGGTATTAAACCTGGCTTTCTTGTTCTGTTGAACCAAAACAGGATATTCTGAAGAATGTTAGAAAAACGGCGGCCATTGACTTTCATGAAAATACTATGGTAGTCAGTGGTTACCAGTATCCAACATTCTTCAAAATATCTTACTTTGTGTCCAACAGAAGAAAGAAACTCAGAGAAAAAGAGGATTAGAAGAATGAAGCGTGAGTAAATTGTTTTTTGTGTGATCTGTCCCTTTAATTTGAAACCATGGCATAAAATATCTGCATTTCTGATGTTTGCGCATGTAAATTGCAGGTTGACAGTGCATGCTGAGTGCCCGATGCATCTTGAAGATTTCCCCATGGACTTCCACTCCTGTCCGCTGAAATTCGGCAGCTGTGAGTATCATCTGGAATCGTTCACCAAGACATCATAGAGAGTCTTTCTTGCATACTGACTGATTTGAACAAAAAAAAAAAAATGCAAACAATCATCTGCAAAGTTTTAATTGAGGAATCGTCCCTGCAGATGCTTACACGACGACAGAAGTGACGTACACCTGGACGAAGAACGCATCCAACTCTGTGGTGGTAGAAGAGGAGAGCTCTAGACTCAACCAGTACGATCTTCTGGGACAAACTGTGGGGAATGAAACCATCAGATCCAGCACTGGTGAGATTTGTTTAAACTTTAACAACAGTTTGTGAAGTTATGATGACCTAGAGTGGTTAATCAAATTTAAATTGCAAATGAGATTGATGAAAGATGCGATTGTCTTGCACATCTTCTCACGGAAGAACAGTGTGACTTGTAGTGAATCTCCTCCGAAGGCCAGAGGGCGCTCTAGCGGAAATGCACTAATCTGTCTAAATACACATGAAGAAACCCAGGGGAAATTAGCAGTTGCTGAATAAACGAGATTTAACTGCTTTCATTGATTGAGCTTGACTAATAAACACACGACTATGGAATCATCTCACAAAAGGGTTTACTTCAAACACTGGACTGTAGTTATGAGGTGAGTTTGGAGTAAAAACAGGCTATATAGGATGGGTGTTATTTAAGCGCTCCAGTGATGGCTCAGCCCAGATGAGAGGGGGATCCATGTTGCTTGTTGCTGCTGTGTTTGTTTGTGTGACTTTTGTGCCTATCTTGTGCTCTGGTTCGCTTTAAAGGGAGTTTGAAGCGGGTGCTACTATCTGTATGTTTTTTCCAGTGAGAGCAGTTGAGTAAGTGACGCTAAAGATGTTTTTTTCTTCTTATTTACATATTTCTCTTTAGTTATTTAGAGGTGGGGGAGGGATTAGTTAGCGGGTGTTTAATTTGTTATTTTCTTTGATTTGGCACCGCTTATTCTCCTTCCCTCCATCAGGTATGTTTGTTTACTTTTTCCATTTATTGTACATATTTGTAAATATATTTTGGGTGATACAAATATTCATTACATTATCTTTATTGTAATAAAGCGAACCAATTTTTTTGCCATGTTGTTGTCTGTGTTGATTCATAGCAGCTAACATCTAAGGAGGAATTCTTAAAATATTGGGTTTTTATAGTTATGTTAAGCCCTTTTTCATCCTCCGAGCCACACGGGGCGTAACATATGTTGTAATTTCACGTGTAGATTTTACTACAGCCGTTATCCACTGAGAAGCAAACGGCTGTCATTATTGCAGAACGATCATCTCGATGTCATCATCGACCGATTAAGGCAAAGTCAAAAGTAAAACTTTTTTTTTTTTTTTTTGGCATACTTTATCAGCGAACTACGACTCTGTTTAGTTAACCCAGCTTTGAGAACTGATTTACCTCGATTATTTTTTTTAACGCACGATAAAATTCTTATGTTAACGCAACACATTAACGCAGATAATGGCCCACCACTACTTAATACACATAGGATATACAGAAATACACAAATATCTTTACATATGAAAAAATAAAGGATTAAAATGTGACAAAAATATTATTTTCTACATACAGATAAAAACCACTACCTCCCTGCCTTCTTTAGGTCAGGGGTTTCTTTCTGTTTATTCATGACAGTTTGCTTTTGTACAATATTATTATTAGCAGTATTATTTATTGTATGCATATTTATATATATATATATATATATATATATATATATATATATATATTTTTTTTTTTATAAAAAACAAGCTTAGATTTCTCCACATGTCGTGTTTTGGACCATATAGGCGCAGAAGTGTCAAACTCAATTCCTGGAGGGCCGAAGCCCTGCACAGTTTAGTTCCAACCCTGCTCCAACACACTTACCTGTAGGTTTCAAACAAGCCTGAAGGACTCAATTAGTTTGATCAGGTGTTTTTAATTAGGGTTGGAACTAAACTGTGCAGAGCTGCGGCCCTTTTGGAACTGAGTTTGACACCTGTGATATAGGGCATAAATCGTGTGTTTGGATATAACGTGGTTTTTTGACCACACTTTGTTAGTATTGTTCATTTATTTGTTTACTGGAAATTAGAAATTAATTTAGAAATAGTTTTGAAACAGGATGTTTTTGGATGTTTCCCAGTACGAGGTCACAGCTGGAAGGGTATATGCTGTAGTGACCCCTGATAAATAACAGGACTAAGTCGAAGGAAAATGAATGAATGAATGAATTAAATAATTAAGTCATGAATGAATGAATTAATTAATGAACATATGAGATTGGATATTGGAGGCGACGCAGTGGCGCAGTAGGTAGTGCTGTCGCCTAACAGCAAGAAGGTCGCTGGTTCGAGCCTCGGCTCAGTTGGCTTTTCTGTGTGGAGTTTGCATGTTCTCCCTGGGTTTGCGTTGGTTTCCTCCAGGTGCTCTGGTTTCCCCCACAGTCCAAAGACATGTGGTACAGGTGAATTGGGTAGGCTAAATTGTCCGTAGTGTATTAATGTGTGTGTTTGTGAATGTGTGTGTGGATGTTTCCCAGAGATGAGTAGCGGCTGGAAGGGCATCCGCAATGAGTTTTGAAACAAATCTTTGCGCTTAACCAATGAAATTAAATATGTAGGCTAATGTAGGGACTGGTCTTCAGTGGAGTGAGTACAGAACAGTTTCCTTATCCACAAAAGTAAAGGAGTAAAGTAAAGAGTAAAGGTAAAGAGAAAGTAAAGAGGCTGAATGAAGGAGGCTCGTTATTTTTTTCCGCGCTGCAGATGCTCTGTTTAACTGTGTTCTTGCTAGTGAAGCGTTCAGTTTTTCCACTTACAAAGTCCGCCATGTAAAAAGTAAATGCACCATGGCGCAACACAGCTGACACTTAAAGGGAATGTGAGATAAGACTCATTGGTTTAATAAACGTTATGCTCAAAACACACCTAGAACTTATTAAGAGAATAAGCACAATCCTGTTAGACCATGCGGCGCAGCTCGAAGCATATTTTTCCATCCCTAAAATAGCATAAGTGGATTCAAACACACTCTTAATGCTTTTGCGCCATGAGCCTTGGTCGTTAAAATAGAGCCCATAGCATGTGCATGCAATGATGTTTTCTTAATTTGTTAGCATTTTTCTTAACCTGCAGTGCATTTAAGCTCTCTCAGCCACTGTAGTTTAAACAGTCAAGATGGCAGCAAGCCACTTGTACAGTTTATCTGGCAGTTCCTACAAAGTCAACCATATGGATTTGAAATACCACTAAGTAAATAATGACAGAGCTTTTCTGGGCGGGGTTTTCTTTCCAATAAAAGCCTCTGAACACCGCGCAGACTTGAACAGACATGTTGGATATGCGAGGTTGATTTTGAAGGATTGTCTGATGTCATGGCAAATTTGCCCTTCGTTCTATCATAGTCTATCAAGCACACATTCGCTCTGTCCGGCTAAATCTGCCATGTGCTTTCACACGATCTCTGGGCAAGACTCAACAAACCCTGTCTGTCACTTTTTTTCTGCTTCGCTCTCCCTGTCTCCCTCTCTCTCTAATGCACATCTTTGGGTTGCTGTGACATGTTGGCATTTGGTAGCGCGGTAAAGCGAACAAATCCTCGATGTGGGGTGAGACAGAGGCCAGAACATGTACAAGATATTCCACTTCAGCAAAGAACAGAGAAACCAAAGGGACCGTACTACAAGAATCCCAGAAGAGACACTTTAAGCCATGTTTACAACATTACCTTTACAAATGGAGAGCGCACTCACAGCTTGCAAGACATTCAATATTGATGGTAAAGACATTCTGGATTTTACTCTTGCATAACAATGGCGGTCAACCAAAATGGGTTAAATGTTCATATGTATACTGAGGGCTGAAGATGAAAATATAGATCTATACAGTTGTGATTCTCATGTTATTATTTTTTTTTTATTATTAATATTATCGGTATTTTATTATTATTATTATTATTGTCATTATTATTATTATTATTATTATTATTATTATTATTGGCATTATTATGATTATGATTATGATTATTATTATAATTATTATTGACATTATTATTATTAATATTATTATTATTATTATTATTATTATTAATATTATTGGCATTATTATTATTATTATTATCATCATTATTGTTAGTGTTGTTGTTATTATTATTATTATCATTATTAATATTGTTGTTGTTGTTATTATTATTATTATTATTATCATCATTATTATTATTGTCACAATCACCAGCGATCACTACTCCATAGATTGCTGGATCTCTCTCACAATAACACATGGACTACAATTCCGTCATTTCTGGACTACATATTCATACATGCACTTCGCCCAGACACACATGCTTCCTTATCTAAACTGATTACATTCACACCACCTGAGAATTGTCAGAGACTGATTGCACACACTATTTAAGCCACACACTCACCCATTCAGTCTCACTGTTTTTTATGCAGCGTTTGCTCTTCCAGCTGCAACCCATCACTGGAAAACACCCATACATACTCATTCACACACACGCATACACTACAGTTCCCCTATAGCACATGTCTTTGGACTGTGATGGAAACCGGAGCACCCAGAGGAAACCCACGCCAACATGGGAAGAACATGCAAACTCCACACAGAAAAGCAAACTGGCCCAGCTTAGGTTCAAACCAGCAACCTTCTTGCTATGAGCCAACATCGCTACCCACTGTGTCACCCTAGGTTAAATAGTGAAAATAGATGATCAGATAAAACTAAACAGCCCTTAATTAAATAATATTTACTGACTTTTATTTACCGATTTCTTTGCATTAATTAATGAGAGGAGTGTATGGGAAAAAAGTAATATATTCACAAAAAAGCTATTTTAAAAAAAATGCACAGAAATGTGACGTGACCTGATTCTTGTGGTTTATTTTGGCCATTTTAAAATCATTGTTTGCCAGAAATTGACTTGATAATTGTGTCCATTTCATCTCCAAAGAAATGATTCACACTCTAGAGCGATTGCTTTGCTTTGCCACATCCTGCATGATCTGTCTTCTGTTCAGACTCATTAGTTAAGCACTATTTGCATCACCCATAACAAGGGATGTACTCAAACAAGTACCGGCGACTCTCTCACATAACAAACACCCAAATGTGTGCATTTAAACACACATATGCATGAACCCTTGGGTCTTTCTTCCTGGGGCTCTTCTAAATCCCCATCATGTGACGTGAGATTAATCATTCATTACCACAGCGTGAATATGCCGTCTAGTGTGAGGAAAATTGGGTCATCTGCCACAC